CTCTTTCGATTTAATTATCAATTCTGTCCAAAAACGCAAAGAATTTATATACTGCCAATTATATACAGCTTGAAAGTTTTCCTGGAAAAAAATTTTGATCCTGAAATAGATATTATGAAAGATACAAATGATCTTTTTAAAAATTACCTATTTCTATATCTAAAGATTATGTGTTTCACAGGTTTTCTCCGTGTTCAGATCCATTCTTAGAATGCCAATATTTCGTGAACCTTGAAGTCCACTCATCAGGGCGAGGATACTATCGCACTACAAGGTTCACGAAACGTTGGTATTCCAAGTATGGATCTGGACACGGAGAAAACCCGCAAACACATAATCTTTATATAGAAAGCACCCATGAAAGCTTCAAGAAAATTACCTGTTTCTTTAATGTTATGGCGTTTCTTAAATTAATTGCTAATTGCCTGATATATAAAAAGGCATGATTGTATGAAACATCATGATCGAGTAGATAAATTTCAACTAAAGAATGTTTCATAAAATTTATTCCTGGTAACGTGTTAGGTGAAACAAATTTTGTATTCTGAACATATTTTACATACATGGTCTAAAAGAGAAAATTTTTTAATAATACAACTGTGATATAAACAATATCCATAAATATTTTTTTTATCATAACATATGGATCTCACCTTTAATAGTTTCTCTATTACAGATTCTTTGTTAATTGTATGTGTTGCAATATGTAGTATATTTAAGAAAGCTGTAACTCGAATAGTTTCTTCTGCAGATGACCAAAACTTTATCAAAATCCTTAACAATGGTTTAATTAAAGATGAAAACGAGCGAGTATAAAGCAACATTTGGCGTAGATGCTTTAGAAGTACTGTAAGAATACTGGGCGACGCTACACTTTGTAATAACTGTGAAAATGATATATTATATTAGTGTTATGTGTTTAAATTAAATTAAATAATTAAATATTTAACAGATACATACTTTAATTAAATCAGACAAGTATAATTTTAAGATCCATCGTATTTTCCCAAATCTTTTAGATTTATGTGCTTCTTGTGATTCTTGATCCAGCTTCAAAAAACATTTAAATGCATCAGGTAGATACATTATACATAATTGTATTACACCATTGAATACTAAAATTTATCAAATAGATTTTAATAGATTAATTAAAAAATAGTAAACAGTTTGATAATAGAAGTTGGAACTTACTAGCACTTCCTTCTACTTTATATTCTGTAGTCTTATCAGGTACTACAACAACACTATCCAAAGCTGCATGAAAGGCTTCTACAGCACATTTAATAGTGGTTATTGATCTACAAATTAAACATAATGCAGTTATTATTTTGCTATTAATTCAACAAAAAATAATTCAGTAATAACTTACTTATCTGTTTGTATTTCTTGTTGCCAATTCTTCAATAACTGTTTAGTGATTTTCTTTTTAGAATCACCTTCAGTTTCTTCTGGTTGAAAATCGCTATCATCACTAGCAACCTATAATATTGCTTGAAAATAAATATAAAAAAATAATTAAAATTGTTTATAAAAAGAATATTTACCACTAAATTTTCGTTGGGAATATGTCTATTACTGTTCATTGAAGAATTATCGTCATCTTCATCATCTGATACTTTAAAGTCCAGAAGATTTTTGTCATTTTCTTTCAGATATTTATAAAACTCAGGATCAGTGTCTTTCAGTTTTATTAATGATTTTTTGTGCTCTGTTGGATCCAAGTTATCTTCACTGTTGTCACTATCCATCTGTTCAGTGTTTTCATTATCTATGTAAAAAGATAATAAAAAATAAAATATATAGTTTAATATATGAAAGAAACCCAAATATTTTAGATCATACCTATGTTTTTATTTTCTTCACCATCATCAGATATATCGCTATCTGTTTCAAAATTTTGTTCAAAGAATTCTTCTGTGGTCAACTTACTCAAATTTTGTTTCTTTCTCTTAGCAATTACTGATTGTTTATCTTTTCTCAAGTTAAGAGGCTTTTGGCTTACCTTCTTCATCTTCATTTTGGAGAAAAATGAACTTTTACGATTGACTCGAATAATCTAAAAAAGAGTGAGTTTAGAATATATAATTGAACACATGAGTGAGAAATAGTATATAATTAACACTTTTATAACCTCATCATTTTATATTTAAGTATTTAAAAAATTATTTATTTCGTTAATGCAATAGATACTTTGTTTCTTTTAACTATAACCAGATATACTTTATTCAATTATTGATACATACATCATAAAATGTTATATTTATAAATACAATTTTTTATTTGTCCACGTGCTTTCATATCATTTCACATCACAGATCTACACATTCCCCGCGGGAAGCACAGACTAGGTGGAAAGCATGGAGTGAAAAGAAGAAGACCAAACGGCTGGTTCCCGAAAAAAATGGGCTCGAAACACGAGGTTTGTCGCGTCGCATGCTCCAAATTAACTCAAAGAGCACTTGGATCACAGATAAAGCTAATTCTTTATTTTCATTACTTTTATTACAGTTAAAACTTAAACACAATAGACACAGGCAATAGGCATAGGCAATAAATAACGAGCTATCCAATCAGAGCTTCGGTGTATAAGTTCGATATTATATCCTAGAGCTCTGATTAGACAATTCGTTATTCCCTGTTCCCTGGCCTATTGCCTGTGCCTGTTGTGTTTAAGCTTTTAAGTATAGGAACGCAGAGATAGAAATATATCATGAAGAGATAAAGTTAAGAACGATATATCTTGCTGTTGACTACACTGCTGATTGAGTTAATCATCGAGTAAGTTAATCGGCGTTAGTAACAGTCGTTCTAAGGGCTACATACAATGAAAAATTGTTATTAATATCATTGATTGGCTGTGGTAAATGTGTCTGCGAACTGCGTTCTGCGTTTGCGACTTATGTAGATGGCCCTTTAGTTGCAAGCTGATTTCAAGTTTGTTGTGATAGCCAATCTGAAGCGTGCATTTTGAAATCAACTCTTCATATTATTATATCTATCAACTTGCGATCGGTTTGCAACTAATGTAGAACCGGCTTAATTTGTCTATGGTTTCGAGCTCATTTTTATCTTCGAGTTTGATATTAGGGTGCTATTCCATTTGTACGTTTTTGTCGTACATCAAATGTGTACATCACAGGCCTAGTTTCCACCAAGAGTTTAATCGAGCATTCCCCTGTCGTTCGACTGTAACTGGGGAATACTCGACTATAGTTAGTTGGTTCTTATAATACATTCTAATCCGGATTAAATCCTCAGTGGAAAATAGGCAGATAGATCCTCGAATCGATTTTTCTATCCCATAGTTAATCAACAGGCTTGAAAAATTTGTCGTACGAAAACGCACAAATGAAATATCATCCTTAAGAGCCATTCCACATAACTTACATAGCCGCATAAACATGTGCATAAAGAAATCATCCAATCGTATTTTATGTTTGTCTTTATGACAGAAATATGATTGGATAATTTTCTTTATGCATATGATTATGTGACTATGCAAGTTTGTGTGGAATAGCCCTAAAGTGGCTTTACATGGCAGCATCAAGGGTCGAGCGTCAGAACATGAGCAATAATATGTTTAATAATTTTACTAAAATTGAATTTAATGTACACCCAAGGATTTCGATTCTTTCTCTCAGTTACTTTTTTAAAACTTCCAAAAATTCAGATTATTTCGTCTTTACGTCAAATTTAATTGTAAATGGACGGAAGATTTAGTTGTGTCGTTAATCACACACGGACTATGAGCATTAATGTAGAAAAGTGATTACTTTTCAGTTTGTGACAATTTTCGAGGGAAAGAATCGAAGTCTTTAAGTATACTAAAGATCCTATAATCAGAGTTTGACAAAAGCGGGCACAACTTCTGAGTAATTCTCCTTGGTCCACTCGATATTCTTCGTACAGCGAAGAAAAGAAAGATAGCTACAAGCAGATATGAGTAAAATCTGTGTCAAAGAAATTAGAAATGATTCCGAATAAAAAGTGTTCCGAGATTTCGGACAAAAAAAATTAACAAATTACAATTCGGCCAATTGATCATCTCAATTGGTTTCTTCAGATACTTCGTCATGTATTGCCTGTCATATTCTAACACTTTTTCGCATGCGTTCATATGAGATACAATATCTGTTATCTCTTTCTATTCGCCATTTTTGGTCCACATTTGCCAAACTCTCATTACAGGATCTCTAGGGATACATGATACACTAATAGTGGAATCTTGTAGTTTACATTATATAATGCAAATAAATACAAATTTTCAGCATTATATATTAAAATAACAGTGTATATCAGAACATAACCTCTCATAATTAACCATTTTGTATTAAGAAGCTGTGCAAAAGATTGGAAGCTTTCCAGCAAGAGACAAATTGACACAGGAGTCATTTTGTCCTTGTTCAATAATTAGTAAGAAACAAAGACTACGTTCAGCAGAACGTTTATTTTGGACTATTTTGGACTATTTTGGACGTAACTGTTGGAAATTTTCTTCGCGCTAATTGGGTTATGCTTTTAGATCAAGAGGAATGGTTATCTCAGCAGAAAATCATAAAACAATTACAAAACTATTATGTTCTGCTGAACGTAGTCAGCAACCAAAGACGGAATGATTCTTGTGTCGATTTGTGCCTCTGCTGGAAAGCTATTATTATTGCGCAGGAGTCTGGAGATTCAAATCTCCAGATTCTGCGCAATAATCTTCTGCGCAGATGCTCGATGCTCGATGCTTGCATGTAATGGCACTTTTATAACTTCGGTACACCAGCGCGATGTTTGTCGCGCACGACAAACTGTCCTGACGTGATATCCAATGAGAGAATATCTTTAAAATGAAAACATTAAAACTGTATACTCATTGCGTGTCGCGCGCAACGAATATCGCGTTGGTGTGTTGGAGACATTCTTTTTATTCCGTAATCCGTGGTCGTAGTGTTAGGTGAAAACTCAGCCTAATTACAGTATATATGTACTTATACTGTGGCCTAACAAATAGTCTTCAAGTTTTAAGAGCAGAAAGCTTATCTTCAAATCATATCGGATAAAAATGCGGTGTACATAAAAGACTATAATAATTATTACTAATTTCGATAAATATTTAAGGTAATAAGATAAATTTTTCCTTGGAAATAAACAAGTTTTTATGCTTTTGATTAATTTTGCAAAACTATATATATAAAAGAGATGAGTGAATAGATATACTCTAGAATATTCTAGATAATTCTTAGAATAGCTATTACACTGTTTATTATATAGTTAATTCGGTAATTATTTAGAATAACCCTTCCCTCCCTCCTCCCACCTCAAATCTTTATAAAAATGTACTTATTTGACGTTGTTTTCATTCAAAATGAAAGAATCTGGCAAAAACATCGACCTCATTTAGAGATTAAGATATCTATTATTCCAATTCGATACAGCTCTGTGTACGTTCTGCATTAACTACACAAATTCATTGCTTTAAAAACACAAATTTACTGTTTTAAAAACATAAACTTCACTGCTAATGCAAAGAATTTGTGTGTTTAAAGCAGTGACTTTTTATTTGTAAAGCAGTGAATTTGTGTTTTTAAAGCAATAAATATGTTTTTAAAGCAGTGAATTTGTGTAGTTAATTTGTAATTAATTCAGAACGTATACATTATATTGAGTCGGGATGACAGATATCTTAACTTTTAAAATCTTCAACTTTAACAGTTAATAATTCGATTTACCAGGCTGACCACCGCGTTTTTTTGTAAGATTCTTTCGTTTTGAGTGAAAACATGTCGAATAAATGAATAGAATAGAATTTATTACACTTCAGCATTTACATAGCCAAGAAGAGGGACTTGGTTTACATAAATTCCTTATCCACACTCATCCTTCCACACTGCTAGTACCTAGCTTTAAAAACAAAAAAAGATTTTCTTAATATTCTTATTCTCATTTTTTTGAATATCACAGTATATGTTCCTCTATTTTATAATATTTACCTTATTATTATGTATTACAGCCTGACCATTGCATATACTATACTACATAATACAATACAATACAATAGTACGACTTATAGCTACAACTGTACATAGATATGTCACAGCACAATATATATTCCTAATATTATATCACAGCATTTCTAACCATATCTCACACGTTTCTAGATGCAAACTTGTTCTTCTGCTTAAATGTATTACTCCATATCCTTTATCTTGCTAGTTGTCTTTTCCTCCATTTTTCTTTTCCTGATCTCTTTTCTTTTCTCTCTCTCTAATTTATCTAAAACTTTACATTTAACTGAATTTAATTCTTCGCTCCAAAATTTCTTTCATATTTCCTCCTTATCTTCTTTTAGCTCTCATCAAAATCAACTGCATACTTTTGGACATTCCTCCATATAGTGTTCCATACAATCTATCCCTATTCAAAATACGCATTCCCATATTTCTATCTAGTCAATATTTATTTCCTTCCTCCACATTTCCGCATCTAAGTCTTACTAAACCTTGCACGCCTTTGCCCACATAGGTTTTTCTTCTTTAAATAATTGGATAACATCTATAGTATCAAACTCTTTATATCTTTCATTGTACCTTGCAATCTCCTCATCCTATTATCTTCCCACTGTCTTTGCCCATCCCTTTCTCTCCTAATTATTTCCTCCTCTAATCTCCCTTTGTTTCCATCGTCCTCTAATTCCCTA